CAATGTTTTGGTCTGCGGGTCGGTCTTTGGGTCTGTGTTCTTGCGCTGGCTGCTTCTCACGCAGAAAGGGTAAAAAAAATACTAAACAAAACATGTCTCCATCGTCCTGTTTCTATGGCAACACATCAGAGAGGAGACAGGAGGAGTCTCCTCCACGACGACACGCAGAGCAAAAAGAGGAACGGAGGGAATAAAAAGAGGACAGGACGTATCTATGGGTAACCTCCATCGGTTATCAGAAAATTGAAGTCTCATCTGTTCGTTCTGCTTTTTCCGAGACGCTGCGCCATTTATCTCCCCCTCCTTCGGCGCTCGGGTTCATTTTCTGCTCCTCATCTCATTAGTGTGCAGCACGCTGCAGGAAAACACGATTCGGCTGCTCGCAGACGAACAGACAGACGGACTGCTGCTGACGTTTACGTTTTCGCAGAAATGATGCATCTCTCCCAGAATCAATATTTACCCCCGTCTGTAAAGAAAACCCTGTCTGTGTGGGGGGTGTACATAAAGAAAGTGTGTTTGTTCTCCAGCTGGAGGGGGCTGTTTGCTCTGTAGAGCCAGAGATGGATGCAATTAAAGACGAGAACCACCTGTTGGCTCGGTCCGGCTGCTCTGATCTGACTGTTCAGACTTGTTTCATGGAGCCGCAGAGGGGTCCGGGTCAGAGAGGGCCCGGGCCCAGACTGTGTGCAGGTTACCATGTTGTTGGAAAGTTCCTCAAAGACTTGTCCAAAGAAATGAGGACAAGGAGGTTCTCTGAACGATGAAGGAGTCAGAACATCCATCTCTGGAGGTATCCAGACCTGCGGTACAAACTCTGGGAGTCCCTGCTGGAGTTTCTGTTTCTGAGGAAGACTTTATAGGTCTTGACTGGTCTGTACAGATCTTTACAGATCTTTACAGGGTGGCAAATAAAGACTTGCCGAGGTGTAAAAGGTTCACGGATCAATAAAATCAACAGAAACCAAAACCTGAAAGTTTTTTTTTTTTCCTGTTTTTATCAGAAACATCTGCGCTCCTGGTCCAGTCCTCGTCTCTTTATGTTTGTCTTCCAGAGATCCAGACTTCCTGTCCTCTGTTACAGTGGTCTGGATCAGCAGTTCTCCAGACTTTCTGAAGCCGTTCTTGTTTTTGAGGAGTTTTTCTTTGGAGTTTAATGATCTCAGAAACTTGGAACAACAACACACAGACTTGAGAGGACGACGAAGAGATTTGTGATTATAATAAAGACTCGGGACGACCTTTAGAGGACAACAAGACAAAAAGATGAGATGATTAGGACAAGACTTGGGACAATGACATAGATTTGAGACAGTTTCAGACTTGAGACGAATCGACGATGGTGACTAAACTGACCAGAGAGGGGTGTCCTCGGACAGACTCGGGGCGACAGGGACTTGGGTTGTGACAGGGACCTGACCCTCATCAGATCCTGTTGTACAAACCAGAGAAATCTTGTGAAACTGGACAGAAGAGAGTCTGAGTTTAGTTTGTGGATGTTACTGCTGTGCAGATTTCAAACCTTCCACTAATAAGAAAACGGGTCGGAGTGCCTCATCAGAACCTAAAACATTCAGTAAATGTCAGAATGTTTAAAGGTCTTTTCTTTCTCATGAACTACTTTGTTCTGTTTGAAAACAACTTGGGAGATTTCCCCTGTTTTCCGAGTCAGTGAATGCATCGTGCTCCAGTTGGAACTGTAACAGAACCCTGCAGAACTGATCGGATCCCTCAGAACTGCCCGAGTTCCTGCTTCAGTTTGGGTTCTGTTTGTTGTCGTTTTTATATCTGATTGTAGAAACAGTTTGTTTTTGGCTCATTTATTGAAATAAGTGTGATGTTCTGAGTCAGCGGAAGTTCTGGTCTGGCCCAGTTTCACTCTGAATCATAAACATTAGATCAGCTTTATGCTCTTCTGTTACTTGTTGTAATTCAAAGTAAATCAACAGGAAAAGGGTCTTCTTTGTGTATCTTTACACAAAGAACCCTTGCAGACTTTAAGAACACATTTCTGTCTTCAGTTTCTTTGTTTCCCTCCACAGTATTGAATCGTTCTTCCATATTGCGTTACTTTTAAACTGTTTTTCGGGAGCAGTTCTTCTGGTCCTTTTAACCAGCGTCTCGGTGGCGGGTCGAGCTGCTTGGACCTGATGTTGCATCGAAGGAAACAAGTGGGTTTCTGCTGTGAAGCTGCCCCGGAAAGATGGAAAGTAAAAGCAACATAAGGCCGATAATTGCCAAAGAGTGGCACCGCTAATGAGGCCACTGCAGATGACATCCGCTCGGCTCTTTGTGTTCATATACAGTTAATCTACCATCAGCAATCATTGCTACTAAATCATGTAATGACGCTGATGTCTGCGAAGTCAGCGGTGATTCATTTATGGCTCCTTCCTTTCTTATTTCAGAGCTGCGTTAAACATTTCTCTTCAAACTCCTCCTATGGGTTAGAGAACCAGCTCGGGTTCCTCGTGGCTTTTTTTTTTTTTTTTCAGATCTGTTTTGGGTCTCTCACACTTCTCTCTGAAGACGCACTTGTTCCTGAGTCCGGAAACTTGTGGTAATTTGTCAGCATTTCTGCAAACAGGTCGTGTTACTCAGCTGCACGGCCATGGTTCTGGGATCAGCGCTCTGCTGCCTTCAGAGTCCCCCTCACCGTTGGTCGTCAGGTTCACGACTTCTGCTCATTTAGTCTCCGCCTCCAAGAAATACTCCGTTTGATAAAGGTTCTGGCAGATTTCAGGAACACTGAAGCGAGTGAATTGATGAAGCCCGGTGTGACCCGGCTTTCCTCTCGGTTCTCCTGCAGGCTGCAGCCTGTTTGTAGGAGGTAAATTGTTCCAAACAGAACTTTAGTGGATCTTTCTGTTTCCGATCCTTCAGTAATCCCAGAGTCACTCCACGATGGGATTAGGGGTGTGAGCGGCCCATCCCGTCTCCTCCAGGACTCCCATGTTCTGCCTCTAAGCTGATGAGGGGTTTTAACCTCGTTGATGTTTGGGCTTGTTGTCCAGGTCCAGAGTGAAAGTGGAGCCAATCAGATGACTCATTAGCGGTGTTGCACGATGAGGTATCTGCTGGTTTTTTAGTACTGAGGGCATCGTTAATCTGGACCAAAATAGGCTAGGTTAGGTTTATTTGTCGTATGCAAAAGGTCAACAACGTGTTGAAATGCTCAGGACGAGAAGAACCGTCTCAACTCACAAAAAAAACCCAACAAGAAATACCAACTCGTGCAACAAAAATACAAAAACAAGGCGCCAAAGGTGAAAAAGGAATGCATCTACAGCAGCATGGTCCCGTTGGCACCATGGTGCTGTTAGCAGTGTGATTCTGTTAGCGGTGTGGTCTTGTTAGCAGCGTTAGCGGGTCCCGTTAGCAGCATCACAGCAACAAAATGCAGATCCAAACTCTGAGGGAACCCTACCACACTTCACAGTTCCCTGAGGGTTCTGATCATTCTGCTGTCCTGTTCCTCAGAGACCAAACCAGCTCCTGCTGCACTTTCAGCACCTCACATCTCCCCAAAGCATCTGCCCCCATTTTGATCAAGTTTTCAAATGAACTTGGAGGTCAGACGTTCAGCTCTCTGACTGTGGTTCTTCCATGAGGACTACTTCCTGTCTTGAATTTTCTGGACAGTACATGGGTCCACCTGGGTCTTTCAGGTTTCTTTCTGTCCTGAGCTGAGGTTGCTGCTGGACTTGGGCTGATTTCAAATAAAAGAAGTCTCTTTAAATCAGCATCTCACGAGTTGCGACGGTTCAAGACTCAGAGAGGAACTTTAAATGGTCTCATTGAGTTCTGGATGTTTAAACTAGCGAGCTGGATTTCCTCGTTTTGATTAAAATTATTAAGTCACTTCCTGAAACCGTATTCTTGAACATGCACAAAAATGCTTGCTCATATCGTACCCACCGTTAGCTGTTCCTCCCCCAGTTTTAGGCCTCCTCCTCCTCTGCAGCTGTTTCTGTTTTAGTTCAAGACGTCTTAAAACGACAAAGATAAATCAGACAAACGTCAATCCTGTGAAGATGCAGTGTAAATGCTTATTACTGAATGATTCCGTCTGAAAGCAGCTGAAAAAGTTGAATATGAGCACTTTTGCTGAAAACGGGGAAATAAAAGCAGAAAGCAGCAGAAAAACGTCTGAAATGTATAAAAGTGAAAAAAGCTGAATGTAGCAGAATAAGCTAAAATATGCAGAGAGGCTGAATAGATTGCAAAATATGAAATTAGCAAAAAAGAAACTAAAATGAGCAGACAAAAGCTGAAGCAAAAAGTAGCTGAAAAAGCTCAAATGGGCAGAAAGAAGCTTAAAAAAAACTTAACCAGAGTAACAGCTGAAATGAGCAGTAAATTTTTAAAAGGCTAAAGGGTTTTGAAGTGAAGATGGCTTCATTCATTTTCAATGAGGACAACATGGCTGACTAAGCTAAATATTTCAAAAAGTAAAAGTTGCACAAAAACCAAAAGTCCCAGCGGGAATGTCCTGAACGAGCCGAACATTTTGAGACATGAATTGTTGAAACAGCACAAAAACTGCAGAACGAGTTACGAGCTGAAAAACATAATGAAGAGAAAACGGATGTGAATGTGAGAATGATTTAAAAACATTCAGACATTAGCACCTGCTGGGTGTAGAGACTCAGTCCTGCTGAACCCTGACTGTAAATAAAATCTGCACATTGCTCATACAAAGTAGAGTATATTCAGGTTTTGTTTTGTCTCCCTTTGCATTAACAGATTTAAAAAAAAAAACATTTTTCCACCAGCTTGTAAATTTGCACAGCTCAGCACATCAGCTGAGGCTGTAGGTGACGGGAACGGGTCAGTGTGGTTCTGTCTGTGTGTTTGGCCCGATGTTTGCTCAGGGCAGGTTAGCTCAGGATGTTTCGTTTGGTCTTTCCAGCTGACTGCCTGTTTAAATACACAAAACAAGACAGTAAATGTTGGACGGTCTCACACTGACACCCTCTGTCTTTCTGTCCTCTCTCCAGCCCACTGGTTACATGGAGACGTCACTGTCCTACAGCTCCATAGAGGACCTGCAGCTCCTCTCGTGGGACAACGCCCCCAAGTACTGCGTCCAGCTCAGCTTTCCTGGTGGCACCGTCCTGCTGCAGGTAAGTCGCACGTCTCTGCAGAGACGATAACAAAGAGACGAGGTGTCAAAAAGACAACCTCAAAATAACAACACACAGACAGGGACTACTTCAAAGAGACTTCAGACAATGACGAAGACAATCTGTCCAGGGTAACAACCTAGGGACATCAAAAAGACACGCAGAACAACAACAAAAACACGGGACACAAGACAACTGAGATTCAGGATGACAGCAGAGGGACTCGGCGACAGCGGAGGAACTCTGGAGGACAGCGGAGGAACTCTGGAGGACAGCGGAGGGACTTGGGACGACAGCGGAGGGACTTGGGACGACAGCCGAGGAACTCTGGAGGACAGCGGAGGGACTTAGGACGACAGCGGAGGGACTCTGGAGGACAGCGGAGGGACTCTGGAGGACAGCGGAGGGACTCTGGAGGACAGCGGAGGGACTCTGGAGGACAGCGGAGGGACTCGGGACGACAGCGGAGGGACTCTGGAGGACAGTGGAGGAACTCTGGAGGACAGCTGAGGAACTCTGGAGGACAGCGGAGGAACTCTGGAGGACAGCGGAGGAACTCTGGAAGACAGCCGAGGGACTCTGGAGGACAGCCGAGGGACTCTGGAGGACAGCCGAGGGACTCGGGACGACAGCCGAGGGACTCGGGACGACAGCGGAGGTACATAATGAACTCTGAGATGTATGAACAGAGTCGTTGACGATGGCAGAGTCTTGGAAAGACTTCAAAGACTGGACAACGATAAAGACACGTGCCACAATAACCTGTTTTGAAGTGCGTTTTTCAGTTTGTATCGTCGTTGACCTGTAAGGTTTCGTGGAGCAGCTTCAGTTGAATTCAGGACGACCTTGTGTCTGTTTTTGACGACCTTCTCTCAGCGTGTCGAGCCTGAAGTGAATCCTGTTTTAAAGAAAATTTATCAAACCAAAAGTTTGAGGGTTCAGTTTTTATCTTGTTGGGAATAAATCGGTGAAACCAGCAGCAGCTCGTCCAGATGAATCTGTCTCTGCCTGAACACCACACATGTCATGTTGAACACGCATCATCGTGGACACTTCCTCCTCTCAGCGCAGCAGCAGCTCGCCAGCCATTCGTTCAGATATTTCACCGTCTCCAAACACGACAGCGTGGAGTAAATCCACACAGGAAGCAGGAGAATGACGAGCAGCAGCAGTTTTCCTCTGAGACGGCCGGTTGTATTTACAGCTTTCTGTGCCGTTAAACGCTGCTGGATCCAGTTCGTCTGAGTCCGACGTGGAGCAGAATCGCTCTGATAGTTCTGAGTTATCAGTAATAAAATGTTTTAATCTGCGGCGGTGAGAGTTGTGCAGGTTTGTTTCACACCGGAAACTCACAGGAAACTGCTCGTTGTTTTAACGTTTCACTCGTTTGTTTTCTTAAAGACACAAATCTTATTTAAAAATAGTTTTCTCTTTTTCTGTTTAACTTTGTTTACTTTTGTTTGTAATTACCGCATTTAGAAAAATTGTCCTGTTCCTGGTAATGTAGTCATTTTCTTGACTTTTTTTAATTTATTTTTTTGTCCATTAGTCACGTTTACCGTATTTTCGGCCATAAACGTTGCACCGCCCTATAAGTTGCATCAGTCCAAATATGTCTAATAAAGTGGAAAAATACGTAAATACGTTTCTTCGCCGTATACGTCGCATCTATTATGCCTCACCGCTGACAACCCGAAAATGTGGACCGAACCCGGAAATGTGGGCCGGTGTGCCAAATATTGCTTGGCTGCCAAATGGCGGCCGTGGGAGCGTGTACGGGAAGACTTTAACAAGAATTTAACAAGATTAACATTTAAAACTATTATTTGCTTGCTCAAAACTATAGTAAAGTTGTGTCTCAGTCTAACTTTCCTTAATAAATGCACTTCAATGGTCAAATCAGCTGCATTTTGCCGGGGCGGCGCAGTGAAATGAAGCTGATTTGACGGTTGCTCCAGGCAGATGATGGTGGTAAGCTCTGCCAAGCCGATTGTGTCATTAATAGCCACTTTTACCTACATGATACAACAGCATGCCATACTGCTCTTCTGACTTCTAGCAGCTGAAAATGGTAGTGTTCAATATTTTCAGTCAGAATTAATGAAAACGGTCATATCTCAGCCAAAAATTGGTTTATAAATATGGGAAAAAACATAAATACATCGCTTTGGCGTATAAGTTGCAGGGCATTCAAATTATGCACAAAAAACCTGACTGTGGCCGAAAACCACGGTAATTAAAGGTCTGTTTGTGGTCAGAGTCAGATTTATTTGTCATTCGCATCTCGTGGTGGAATGAGATTATGCACACAGGGTCCCAGTTACATCCAACAATAAAATGTAAAAGAAAAACAATGATAACATCTAAGATATGAACTAAGAAAAACATCAACTAAATATACACTAATAGCATAAAAACATCACGTTGAACAGCAGCACGAACATGAGTGTGTGTAAGCAGATGAGCACTTATGAACACATCAACATGAAACAGATCAGCAGCAACATGTGATTTTTTTTTTCACATTGATTATTCTGGTTAGAGATTAATGAGTCTTAACAGCTTCAGGGTAGAAGCTGTTCCTCAGTCTGGTGGTTCTACACTTAATGCTCCTCAACTTCCTTCCTGAAGGGAGCGGGGCAAAAAGTGTGTGTGCTGGGTGAGTGGGGTCCTTCATGATGCAGGCGGCTCTCTTCCTGCATCTGGAGGTGTAAGTGTCTATGATGATGGGGAGGCTGACTCCAACATCTTCTGTGCAGCCTTCACCACTCTCTGCAAGGCTTTTCTTTCTGCAGCTGTGCAGCCTCCATGCCCACACGTTGATGCTGGAGCACAGGATGCTCTCCACTGCACACCTGTAGAAGGAGGTGAGGACTGAGCTTCCCAGAGCAGCTCGTCTCAGCCGCCTGAGGAAGTAGAGTCTCTGGTGAGCTTTCTTGATCAGGCTGGAAGTGTTTTTGCTCCAGCTGAGGATGTTATTCAGGTGTACACCCATGTACTCGAGTCTGGAGACCACTTCCACCACAGATCCTCTTATGTTCACGGGGTGTAGGTGTGTTTGTTCCTTCTGAAGTCCACAATCATCTCCTTTGTCTTCTTCACGTTGATGTGAAGGTTATTCTCTTTGCACCAGCTCTCCAGGTGTTCCACCTCCTGCCTGTAGCTGGACTCTTCATTGTTTATGATGCATCCCACCACCGCTGTATCATCTGAAAACTTTACAATGTGACAGCCTGGCTGAGTGGGTGCACAATCATATGTGAGCAGAGTGAACAGGAGAGGGCTCAGCACACATCCCTGAGGATGGTGGTCATTTTGTTCTCAGTTTATTTATTAAAAACAAGAAAGTGACAACTGCAGAAGTGTAATAAAACCTTAAATCTCATTCATGAAGTGAAGGGAATTACATTTTTGTTTCTTTAACTTTTTATGATTTTATGTTTTTTTTGTTGTTGTTTAAAAGTATCATAATGAGAAAGTGATGACAGCAGAGACACTTGGAGGACAATTAAGAGACCCATCTTTAAAGTTTCATAAATGATTTCAGTTGTTTTTTCCGATGCTGTTAAATTAATGTTTACTTTAAAAGTCAAACTTGTTTGTGTTTGCAGGCTGCCAACAGCTACTTGAGGGATCAGTGGTTTCACTCTCTGCAGTGGAAGGTAACATTTCACTTTAACTTTTAATTTATTTGTTTCACACCCCGACACCCTCTGCTCACCGAGCTGACTTTTAACCTGCTGACACCAGAGCCTCATGCCGCTCCGAACAACCGCTGAGGAGCTTCACAGAACCAGAACCCCCAGTAACTTCCTGTGGTGTGAACTTGGAACCCCTCCGTCAAGCTGAAGTGTTGTGATTTGTGTTATTTTTGCGTCATTAATGACCCCGCTGTGTCTCCTGCAGAAAAAGATCTACAAGTACCGTAAGGTCCTGAACAACCCGAGCCGCTGGGACGTGGTTCTGAAGGAGATCCGAGCGCTGGTGGACATGGCTCTGACCTCTCCACTGCAGGACGACTCCATCCACCAGGCTCCTCTGCACATCATCTCCACCCTGCTGGCTGAGGTAGCGCCTCACACGCACACACACATGTCTGTTCAGGTGTTACCTGTGAGGAGAGTCTGCTGTCCAAAGGTGAGCTCAGGTCATCGTTTACGGGAGTGAAAGGACTCGGACTCTCCAGCTGATCCAGGTTTCTAAACATACGAACAAGCCAACACGAGTTTCAGCTGCCACTCTGAGTTAAGATGATTTCCTGTTTCATAGTTTTGTCTAAAAATGGCCGTGTCGACACCATTGAATTAAAGTCCCCCCACCCCACGAGTCCCAGAGACAAAATAATCTCAAATTAATCAGAGACTTCAGGCACAGAGACTCTGAGGCGATCAGAGTTGATTTAGTTTCTCTGTGGTGGATGTTGTGTTGAAAAAAGCACCCTGACCGGGGGGGTGGGGGGTTTGGTGGGTGTGGGTGGGGGGTGCACTGTTTGGGAAATAACTCAGCCTGTCACTTTTACAAGCCGATGTAAAAAAAACAAAAAAAAGTTTGCGACTTTCACATTAACTGTTAAATTTGATCCCTTTTAGTTTTAAACTTCAAATATATAAAATAAAAATCACTTCCCATCTGATTTTTACTGTTTGTGAAGTTCGGTCAAGGATATTTTTGGGCACGACTCTTTCATGTTTGGGGGTCACAAGTCCAAAGGTTTGAGGTTTTACTTTAGTAAAACAACAAAAATATATTTTTCTAAATATTGTAAATATCACCTGCTCATTTAACAAGGCTGTGGATAGTCGGGAGAAG